GCGTTTTTAAGGCCCCCCCCCCCCCCCCCCCCCTGCACTTGTTACCTTCCTGGGCATGTGCGCGCAGGAAGGTTTTTTTTTTACAGCCCAATAAGGTACGGCATGGTAACCGATGCAAAGTGCAGCCAAATGCTGCAGAGCAGCGGTGCAATGTTAGGAATACAATGATTACAGACCTGAGGTGTCCCTTGAGTGTCCCCGCACCCCTCTTTGCTCGCTGTCACATCTGCTTCCATCTAAACATAACAAAAACGATAGGGGCTAGTTCCTATCCCGCAGATTGCCCTGTGATGTCACAGGAAACATGTGACCAGGAAATAGTGGGCGGCAAAATCTAATGAATGAATAGGAGCTGCTGCTATACAGTGGGAGGGAGGCTGCAAGCTGATCACACGTTTTTTCCCCCAGTAGGTCTCCCCCCGTCCATCTTCTTTTACAGTATATCCTCTCTGTATACCCTCCCTCTCTCGCAACCATGTCTCCTCTCTATTGTCACTATTATACCACTTCCGCTCTGTAGCTCTTGTACTTCCGCTGTGTGCGTTCCACGGCTTTTACCTGGTTGCTATAGAGACGCCTAGATAGGAGTCTGGACTTCCTCTCTGAGACCTTAGACACCGTGTTCTATCGAAAGCTCCAACTCCTCGAGTTCTCCAGCTGCTTGACTTCCGGTTTAGTTAGAACTAAGAGGTTTGCCCAAGAGAGCTCCTCTGCAGGAGCGCTAGCCGCGGCATTGCCCTTTACACATACACCACAGCAATGAAGTATTAAAATGAATTAGGATCACTCTAATCCAGCACGTTATTAATCTCTGGTGCCCCACTTAAGCGGCGGCCATATTGAGTGGGGCATCTGAGATGAATAAAGTGCTGTATTAGTGTGATCCTAATTCATTTTAACACTTAATTACTGTGGTGTATGTGTATAGGGCAATGCCGTGGCTGGCGCTCGTGCAGAAGAGCAGCTTTCCTTGCCAAACCTCTTAGTTCTAACCAAACCGGAAGTCAGGCAGTTGGAGAACTCGATAAATTGGAACTTTCGATAGAACACACCGCTCTTTATTCCAGAGGTGCTCAAAACCACCACTAGAGGGCGTCATATAACAGGAAGTGTCCTTTGTGCGGTCGGAGCGACGGCCATTTTGTTGTAGTCCATAGGAGAACAAGAAGCAGCAGTGATCCCAGAATACTCCTGGAGGGGTGTAACGCTGGAGAGTGTGTGCCCAGTGAGGAAGAGGTAATAATGTCTTCTTATTAGGACAGGAAGAAGAGAGAAAAGGGGCCCCCAATACAATGGGTGGGTGCATGGGTCATGTGACCTTTCAATGTAAACATATTGGGGAGCAGGCAGTGGAGTGTGACTAGACACCAACTGTTGTGAAATATTGTTTATAAATATGGTTGTGTAACAAATTTCAATCGCAGATCAACCAACATACCTGAGCCCCATATTAGGATTACTTCTCGTTTCCTGCAATATTTAAATGGCTGCATAAGTGTCTTTTTATTATGCATGATATCTACCTGCTGTAGGTCCCTGCCCATATTCCCCGCTTATTATGGAGCGCACACCCATCTCATTTCCTATCCTCAATCATAAAAGATAAGAAAAGATGAATGGTCACCGCAGGTGTGCAGTCGCAGGAAATCAATTGCAGTGTGAAGGGGCCCGAGGAGGAAGTATTTAGCGGGCCACACACCACAATACAATATGACTGTACCATATCCTTTAGATTTAGCACTGGCTGTGCAGTAGGAGCATCTCCGACCAGATGTGGATTGTTTAGGCAGCCCCGGTACTAGCGGTTGTTAATACCCTTTACAATCTGATTGTACAATCTCTGTGTTCCTATTAAATCCCCGTTAACTGTTGTGTGCGATTTTAAGCGCAAGTGTTGCGTGACAATACACGACGAATGGAATCTCATTATCTATGGGGCCCATTCAGACCTATGCAACATGACTTGGAAAATGCCCTGTAGACTTTAATGGGAGTGCATGAAGAACGCATGGAACATGCATTGCACCTTAACATGACAAGCACCCACCCCCTAGCAACCCATCACTTATTTCACTTTTATTGGCCATGGCCTGTGTGGTCAGCTCGTTGTGGCCTATCTGGTCATTTCCTCACGGCCCGCCCGGTCATCCCGTCACGGCCCGCCCGGTCATCCCGTCACGGCCCGCCCGGTCATCCCGTCACGGCCCGCCCGGTCATCCCGTCACGGCCCGCCCGGTCATCCCGTCACGGCCCGCCCGGTCATCCCGTCACGGCCCGCCCGGTCATCCCGTCACGGCCCGCCCGGTCATCCCGTCACGGCCCGCCCGGTCATCCCGTCACGGCCCGCCCGGTCATCCCGTCACGGCCCGCCCGGTCATCCCGTCACGGCCCGCCCGGTCATCCCGTCACGGCCCGCCCGCTCATCCCGTCACGGCCCGTCCGGTCATCTCACTTTAAGGTTGTTTATGTGAATCGGATATGTCGTATCATTGTATATTCCTATAAGGCCTTGTATATTTCAGCAGGACAATGCTAAACCGCATACTGCATCTATGACAAAAGCACGGCTTCGTAGTAAAAGGGTGGCCCTCCTGCAGTCCAGACCTTTCACCAAATGAAAATATTTGGCACATCTTGAAACAAAAAAATACTACAAAGAAGACCCGGAACTGTTGAGCAGTTAGAATCCCATATTAGGCAAGAATGGGACAACATTCCTCTCCCAGAACTCCAGCAACTGCTCTCAGTTCCCGGACACTTACAGGATATTGATAAAAGAACAGGAGATGCTACACAGTGGTAAACATGGCCCTGTCCCAACTTAAATCATTGCATCCTGTTTTTATGTAGATGTTACACAGCGTCCCAACTTTTTTGGAATTTGGGTTGTGTATACATATGTATGTATGTGGATTTTTAATCCTTAGAAACATGTTTTTTTTCCCTTCAATTTCAGGTAAAAATGATATATATCTTGAGGTAAGAGTATGTGAAAGGACACGAGGACCTGTAGAAGGACGCCATGATGGAGAACCGGCCGGCCCTCACATCACCGGGTAAGAGGAGACTTTCATTTCTTGAGTATTGAGGATCCCCCTAGATACACACATCCTCTGATATAAAGACATAGAAACAATGTATTCAGTCAGTGTGTGTGTTTCCTACAGATGGATCCAGGAACAGAAATACCCCAGAGAGATGTCCCCGTCCTCTGTATTCCCGGGATTCCACACAGGAACATCAGGAGATCCCTCAGGAACATCAGGAGATCCCTCAGGAACAAGAGGCGGTCCCTCAGGAACATCAGGAGATCCCTCTGGATGATCTGGTAAGTTGGGTTGAGGGTCTTGTCACATAATATAGTGCTTTAACTTTATGTGATCTGCACACATCTACCTTTGATGACGATGGCAGTACGGGATCCTCCTTCAGCTCCACAGCTAAACCTATTCCATGCATTTATAGAATAATTGACTACAAATACACTATATTGCCAGAAGCATTGGGACACTCTTCCAAATCATTGGATTCAGGTGTTCCAATCCCCTCCATGGCCACAGGTGTATAGGATGAGGCACCTCGGCATGCAGAAGCATCTACAAACATTTGTGAAAGAATGGGTCGCTCTCAGGAGCTCAGTGACTACAAGCGTGGTACTGTGATAGGTTGCCACCTGTGCAATAAGTCCATCCGTGAAATCTCCTGGCTACTAAATATTCCACGGTCACCTATTAGTGGTATTATAACAAAGTGGAAGCAACTGGGAACAACAGCAACTCAGCCAGGAAGTGGTAGGCCACGTAAAACGACAGAGCGGGGTCAGCGCATGCTGAAGCGCACAGTGCGCAGAAGTCGCCAACTGTCTGCAGAGTCAATAGCTACAGACCTAAAATGGTCCCAACTTTGTGGGAAGAGTTTGGGGATGGCCCCTTCCTGTTCCAACATGACTGCGCACCAGTGCACAAAGCAAGGTCCATAAAGACATGGATGGGAGAGTTTGGGGGTGGAGGAACTTGACTGGCCGCACAGAGTCCTGACCTCAACCCCATAGAACACCTTTGGGATGAATTAGAGCGGAGACTGCGAGCCCGTCCTTCTCCTCCAACATCAGTACCTGACCTCAGAAATGGTCCAACATTCCCATAGACACACTCCTAAACCTTGTGGACGCCTTCCCAGAAGAGTTGAAGCTGTTATAGCTGCAATGGGCGGAGCCAACCCAATACTGAACCCTACGGACTAAGACTGGGATGCCATTAGAGTTCATGTGCGTGTAAAAGCGTCCCAATACTTTTGGCAATATAGTGTATATATGGGAACATTTTAACCTGCTAAAGGTTTTGTATTTGTCTCCATCCAGGCACACAGCATAGCCCTGTCCAGCAGAGCAGGAGACCTGAGTTTTATCTATTGCAGTTCAGTAACACACACAGGTCTTGCCCCTCCCCCAAACTCTGGTTGGACGGTGTAAAAAAAAAACAGACTGCTGAGTTCATCTCTTTGCCACTCTGCTCTCTCCTTCTGTCTACATGTCCCTTATTGGTAGGGAAGAACAACTGATTAACTCCTCGTGCTGTCTATTCTTCTCTAACTCTGAGCTCTGCAAAAGGCACGGCGATGGGCTTTAAGAATGTAGATTATGAGTCTGAGTACTCATGTTTTATTTATAATTCATCACGGTGCCATGTAGGATGAAGACATGATGAGCATCAAAGTGGAAGTGAAAGAGGAAGTAGAAGAGACGTCTGTGGTGGATGATGAGTTGTCTGAGGAAATACCTCCAGAGATCAGCACAGGTGGGTAATGAAAGCGTAATAATGGAAGTACGGGATGCCAATCTGTCTGTCGTCACAGCGCTGAGGAATATGGAGATGTTGGGAATAATGAATTTGCCGCTTTGCCTTCTTCAAAAGACATTTTCATTGGCCGATGGGGTTCTGCACATGTGTACAGTTTGTCTGCTCTTTAGCTCCCTCTTGTGGTGGCCAGGAGCAGCTGCTGCAGGATGAGAAGAGATAAGCAGACTGCTTTCAGGATGGGGGTCCCGTGTCTGGCTGGGGGTCCCGTGTCTGGCTGGGGGTCCCGTGTCTGGCTGGGGGGTCCCGTGTCTGGCTGGGGGGTCCCGTGCCTGACATCAATCAGTCAAGCTTCAGTTCCACATGAGGTAGTAAAGGTTTTAGATCAGGTTCTGCGGATGGAGATCAGATTGAATTCAAAGCTTGTAGTGGCTGCAGAGACTCTGGGGGCCCGCTCCCGGAGGAAGGTGAGTATTCAGGGGGATGATCATTTGTACTGGCTGCAGAGACTCTGGGGGCCCGCTCCCGGAGGAAGGTGAGTATTCAGGGGGATGATCATTTGTACTGGCTGCAGGGACTCTGGGGGCCCGCTCCCGGGGGAAGGGGAGTATTCAGGGGGATGACTGGGGGTCCTGTGTCATGGAATGCGTGTAACCTCTTACAATGCGTCATACAATTTTCGAATGTTCCGCTTCTCTCACTACAGACGGATCTAGTCCTCTGCACTCCCCGGACTCTACACAGGACGATCAGAAGATCCATGAGGATGATCAGGTAGGTGGGACCAAGGAAACGAATAAGGGATCGTGCACACGGCGGCCTGGCTCCGTACAACCTAAATTGTAGTGTATTACCCCTGCCAGGGAACCACAGGTGCTGCGTACAGCCTCCCATAGAGGGCAATGGCGGTACATAGCTGGGAGGCCGTACATTGGAGGATAACATTCAGGTTTTGCACTGAGGGAGGCCGTAGATTGGAGGATAACATTCAGGTTTTGCACGGCGGGAGGCCGTAGATTGGAGGATAACATTCAGGTTTTGCACTGAGGGAGGCCGTAGATTGGAGGATAACATTCAGGTTTTGCACGGGGGGAGGCCGTAGATTGGAGGATAACATTCAGGTTTTGCACGGAGGGAGGCCGTAGATTGTAGGATAACATTCAGGTTTTGCACGGAGGGAGGCCGTAGATTGGAGGATAACATTCAGGTTTTGCACGGAGGGAGGCCGTAGATTGTAGGATAACATTCAGGTTTTGCACGGAGGGAGGCCGTAGATTGGAGGATAACATTCAGGTTTTGCACTAGTATTTCCCACACTTTGCTTTCAGGAGGACAATGTAATTTGTATCAAAGTGGAGGATGAGGAGACGCACGTCAGAGAGGACGAGCAGCGCAGAGGAAAGGAACTTCTTGTTGAGATCGGAACAGGTGAGTGATAGGCGTGGGCCACGCCCTCATCACACGCGTCACTTGTAGACTCCATCAGAAGCCGGCGACAACGCCGAAGCACAAGTGAGAGACGGGGACAGAGCGTTGTCATCCTGTAACAGGAAGTGTCTGCAGAAGGACCTTCATGGCAGGTATTATATTAGCCACCTCCCACCAGCCCTTTAGAAGGTGGAGCCCTGATCATGTGACCACTGAGATTGACTGTCATTGGTGGTAAACAGGAGGCTGTCTTACTGAAGCCAGGAGGCGTCTATGACAGATCGGCCATTGTGCCGGGAGGGCGCAGCGAGGGCGCTCTTAGCTCACAACATGGATGTATACAGGCAGCGGTCCGGCGCTAAGGCCCGCTGTGTTGTCGCATAACAGTGCCTCAATATACCGGGGGAGAGGGGGTGAGGAGAGAGAGTGTGCCTGAACACCCTCCGCACACCACAGTGCCTCAATATACAGGAGAAGGGGGGTGGGGGGGAGTGTGTGTCTCAACACTCAGCACACCACAGTGCCTCAATATACCAGAGAAGGAGGGGGGGAGGGGGGCTGAGGAGAGTGCGTCCTAAAATCATGACTCCGTATTGTTTTAGAAAAACTGTCACATGACACTGAAAAAGTATCGGTAATTGGTATCGGCGAGTACTTGAGGAAAAGTATCGGTACTCGGCCTGGAAAGGATGGTTTTGGTGCATCCCTGCTCCCGCCCATGCCTGTACCGAGGTACGGACATGTAGTAATATGGTAGGAGGCAGAATTAAAAGACTACATGTGCGGGGATGTCACCACACTTGTATTCCTCTAAAACTACAAGCCCCCCCCCCCTGCCACTATGGCAGCCGGGGCTTGTAGTTCCTCCTTCCTGTGGCTGTGGTCAGAAAAGTGAACTTAGCCTTTAAAGTGCAATTTGCCCCTCGTGAGGAAATGCCTCCATGTTTTTGGGTAGACTGAGCAATGTGGTCAGGGCCGGCGCTAGTGTAAGGCTGCATAGCCGGCTCTCTGAGGGTGCAAAAATGCACCTTCGCCTGTGTAGGCCAAAATCCTTGCACCGGCCCTGTATGCATGCATGCATGCATGCATGTATGTATGTATATAGTGTGTATATATGTGTGTGTGTGTGTGTGTGTGTACATGTATGTACTGTGTGTATATATAGTTTTGTAACGTCCTGCCTTACTTCCTCCAGATGGACAATACAAAAGGCGCAATAAAGGGAGACGTCCCATTGGCTCTTCTCATCCAGGAAAAAAATCAGTCACCCGAAAACTCCGCCCAGTCCGTCACAGCGTAGCTCCATCCTCCAATCCCTCTACACACGGGGAGGGCGTGCCTGATAGCTCCCCCCCCATTGTCACTCACACCACTCGCAAAGGGGGTGAAAGCTTCCAGTGCCCCGAGTGCGGAGAGCGCTTTGTCGGGCGAGCAGAGCTCGAGTTGCACCACAGGACGCACCCGGTGGAGAAGCCCTATCGGTGTCCCGAGTGTGGCAAACGTTTTGCCCAAAAATCTTTCCTTCGCAGACATCAAACGAGGCACGGCGGCGACAAGCCGTTTTCATGTTCAGAGTGTGGAAAGTGTTTCACGCAGCGCTCGGACCTCGTCAGGCACCAGAGGACTCATTCCGGGGAGAAGCCGTACTCGTGTACCATTTGCGGGAAAAGGTTTTCCCAGAAATCTTTCGTCCTCCGGCACGGGAAAGTCCACACTGGCGAGAAGCCGCACTCTTGCCTGGAATGCGGGAAGTGCTTTACCGAAAGGTCATCCCTGGTCACCCACGAGAGAAGCCACACGTCCGAAAAGCCTTTTCCCTGCTCCGAGTGCGGAGAACGCTTCTCCCGGAAGGACACCCTCATTTCGCATCAGAGCTCCCACACGGGGGAGAAACCCTACGCGTGCTTGGTGTGCGGAAAGTGCTTCTCTTGGAAGTACCAGTTGATTCGGCACCAGAGAATTCACACGGGGGAGAAGCCTTTTGCGTGCTCCATGTGTGGGAAGTGCTTTGCCGACCGGTCGAATCTCACCAACCACGAGAGGACTCACACGGCTGAGAAGCCTTATTCATGCTTAGAATGTGGCAAGTGTTTTACCCAGATCGGCCACCTGATCACGCACCGGAAGACTCACTCCGGGGTGAAGCCCTTTTCCTGTTCCGTGTGCGGCGAATGCTTTTCCCGCAAGTCCTCCCTTCTCAGGCACGAAAGAGTGCACACGGGGGAGAAGCCGTATTCCTGTTCAGAGTGCGGGAAGTGTTTTACCGATCGCTCCTACCTCACCATACATCACCGGATTCACACCGGCGATCGCCCCCACTCCTGTCACTACTGCGGGAAGGCGTTTACCGACAAATCGGATCTGGTCAAGCATACGAAACGCGTTCACGCACAGGATGTAGGCGGGTCCCTCTCCCTACCCCACATTACTGTAATCGCAGGCGATGAGAGCTTCCTGTGTGAGGGCGGAGCAGCTGAATAAGCTTAGGTGTACGTGGAATAGGAATCAAAAGATTTCACCCCATTGAACCCCCCCCGTGTTAGGCAGCCACAGCCGGAGAAAAAAAAGTCTGCTCCCTGCCAGCAGCGCAGAGCAGAACCCTTGCTCTCTGTGTGGAAGCAGCGGTCTCTCTGAAGAGGTCCTTCAGAGCCAAAGCCTTCCAATCAGCAGGGAGCTTTGCTGATTGCAAAGCTATAGGTCTGACGTAGTAGGGGGCATGCAGAGTAGGACCTTTGCTCTCTGTGTGGAAGCAGCGGTCTCTCTGCAGAGGTCCATCAAAGCTCCCCAATTAGGGAGCATGACGTACCACTGTCTTCTAGTACTACCTGGCTTCTGCTTCAGACACACGTAGGGGTGTGCCGGATACCACACGTAGGGGTGTGCTATGGTCCCCCGTTGGGGGCATTTGCTGACCCCTATGTCCTGAAGTAACAGAGGGCCCATTGAATGGGCACACAGGAAGTGTCAGATGCTGACTTTTTTGTAGCAAGGCAGTGAAGATCATCAGCATGGGTGACGGGAGGGTAAGTACCTCCGGGTTTGTGGGGCAAGTGACTCACCCCCTGATTTCCTGTGTGCCAGCTGCCCTGCCCAGCTAGAGCTTCACACCTAGTGGCTGGGGGGGGGGGGGGGGGCAGTGTATTAAAGAGAACCTGTTGCTTGCCCCAGCTGCTCTATCTGCCAGTGTATAAAATCCAAACCTGTGCCTGGCTGGGGCAGCTCAGAAGCAGCACCCCAAAGTAATGAACTACACAGCGCACCCACCGCCAACCAAAGCCAAGTGAAGCTCCTGATACTTCCTGGTATGCCCAGTCCCTCCCCCATCCTGTCACGGCGGCGTGCTGGGCTCCCGAGCGGGAGGAACATGCCAGTCCCTCCCCCCATCCTGTCACAGCGGCGTGCTGGGCGCCTGAGCGGGAGGAACATGCCAGTCCCTCCCCCCATCCTGTCACAGCGGCGTGCTGGGCGCCTGAGCGGGAGGTCCACTTTCAATTTAAAGGGAAGGTCCACTTTAAATTTAAAGGGCAGGTCCACTTTAAATTTAAAGGGCAGGTCCACTTTAAATTTAAAGGGCAGTTCCACTTTAAATTTCAAGGGTAGCCCCCCCCCCTTCCAATGTTTGTTATATGTTCCCATTCACACAGCATCCCTACAATATCTATGTATCTTACCCTTTACATGGTTCTAAGTCTTTAACCCTTTGTTAGGACGGACAGTGTTAGGATCTAGTATAGAAATGGTAATGAGATCGGCCAGTGTGGTACAGACGGGGTTAATTAGGGTAACCATAACTTGGCACAGCCCCCTCCCTAACATTACATGGGGCGGGGGGAGGGGCTACTTGCTGCTGATCTGGAGGAGACTGACCTGTGGACTGTTGTCTTTTCCTACTTCCTGTACTCTATGATTTTAATCTCATCCATTGAGGGACACAGGAAGTCATCCACCTTCGGGTTATACTGCCACCTACAGGAGGATTGGACACTAGCAAACAAAAATCCATCCCACTCCCAGCCCCTCCTACTCCCAGCACGCCTCAGTTTATTGGTGTCCTAGGAGGATGGACGTCTTTTCTTCAGCTCCGCTGTGCACAAGGCTGGCCTGATTTTCCGCCTCTCTGCATAGCCGCTAAACCGGGTCTCTCCACGTGCCATCGTATATCGGGAATGTAACAGCAAGCTCCTGCTGAGATTGTGATCCCTGTCACACATTGACTGCCATCGTATATCGGGAATGTAACAGCAAGCTCCTGCTGAGATTGTGATCCCTGTCACACATTGACTGCCATCGTATATCGGGAATGTAACAGCAAGCTCCTGCTGAGATTGTGATCCCTGTCACACATTGACTGCCATTGTATAGTAGGGAATGTAACAGCAAGCTCCTGCTGAGATTGTGATCCCTGTCACACATTGACTGCCATTGTATAGTAGGAATGTAACAGCAAGCTCCTGCCGAGATTGTGATCCCCGTCACACATTGGCTGCCATTGTGTAGCGGGAATGTAACAGCAAGCTCCTGCTGAGATTGTGATCCCCGTCACACATTGGCTGCCATTGTATAGCACCCCTCAGATCTCCTCTTGACGTACATATGGGAACATAGGAAATAAATGTCCCCATAAAGGTTGTCATTATATTACCTTGTGGCCCCTGTAGATGGAATGATCGTCACTACCTACATTAGGAAACGTGAGCGGAACACACGGCGCAATTTTGTTTTCTGTGTTGTCATTGTTTACAATCCTCGATCATAAAAAGGTGACAAATGCTCGTGTGTACCGGCCTGCTTTCTAAATAAAATCTTCAAACCCCCGCAAGAGCACTCGACATGTATGAGAAATGTGACTGGAACTGGAGAGGGGAAATCTTCCAGTGACAGGGATCACTTCCGGTTGGGACTCCAGGACAGGAAGTGAAGGGAAATCTCTCCAATGGGACAGAAAAACAATGTCCTACACTCTCTGAAACTTACAAAAAGAGTCTTGCCTATAGCAGGGGTCAGCAGTCTCGGCCCTCCAGCTGCGGTGGAACTACAAGTCTCATGAGGCTTCGCAAGACTGACCACTACAGGCAGGACACCCAAAGCGAGAGGGATTTGTAGCTTCACCACAGCTGAGGTTGCCTATCATTGGCCTAATGGGGGGG